TTAAAATTTTAACAAGTCATTTCAAATTGATTGTTAGGAAGGATCACCTTCTTACTAAGGAAAATGTCCTCCATCAAGTGTTTATTATGAATGCTGATTTCTTTTAGAGTAGAAGGTTTAGGAAGTTACTCATTTTGTTCAATAGAGCTTTCATTCTTAAACATACTAGATAAAGTGGGCAGGGGGTTGTTCTTGTGATACATATCATATGTCTGAACAATCAAGTTCAAACTCCCAGTTTTCTTCAGAGCCCAATTAAGTTGACAGTAAATTTTGTGGGGAAAGCATGGGTTTTGAAAGCAAACAGGCCTGGGTCAAATCGTAGCTTCACCACTTACTACCTATGGGCAAGTTACTTCTCTGATTCTGAGTTTCCTCATCCACCAGGAAAAAGATTAGAGATAATAGTTGTAAAACATTTGGCTCATAGCTGTAAATGGTAGCTATAATCAAAGGGATTTGACCTTGATCATAAGGAGACATCTTAGCTTAAGTGTTTAGTAACACGAAGCGTATTTGGTGAGGTCTGTTCTCTAAGGTTACTCAAGTGATAGCAGGAAATGATGTTGATGTTAATAGGAAAGCTAATTAATGGAACAAATATGTTGATAACCGACAAGATGCCTCTACTGTGCTAAATGAAGGGAGGAGGCAGAAAAACAGTTCTGCCCTTGAGTGAATTAAGTGCTTGTGGTTATAACATACACTTTGAGTTAAGCAATGCTTGCTCTCAATTTAAACTCACGAAGTGAAACTTGGAATGGTTTGTCTGAAATAGGCTTTGAAGTGTGGATTGACTGGGGCTTGAAGTGTCTGGGAATAGTGTATGTCATAACTGGTGATGGTAGAATAAGGAAGAATTTTGAGATATAATAAACAGTCTAGCTTGGATTGAGTCTCATGAATGATCTAGAAGTTTAACAACATAAATCAGAAACAACTGTAAGATTTTACACTAGACATTCAAAATCATGGATAGGAGTTCAAATGCTCTGGAGGGAATAAATGAGCAACCTGAGAAATGGTGATCTAAGAGGAAGAATCGATCGATCCTTCCAGGACCCTAAATACGTGGGTCTCTTGGGGAACTATTCATTTTTACAGTTGTGCTGCTAAACCATGATATGCATGAAATCTGTGATTGAAAGTCAAGGGAATGAAGAATGGGAAGTCATTTTAGGGATTTGAAGGCAGGTGTGACAGTCACCAAACAGGTGCACCTCCTGGTAGCATTCAGGAATCATTGCAGAGGAAAATGACTTCTGAACAAAGGACCAATGGTATATAGATGTATTTCAAGCAATTGACTGGATTAGATGGCAGTAGCACAGAGGAGTTTGAAAGGATGGCATAATTTAGCAACATGTGTAAGCTTATAGTCCTGGAAACATAGGAAGGATAGTAGAGCCCCTTGAGAAGCCTTTTTAACATATCTGGATTGTGATTATTAGTAACTGAAACTCAAAAGATTTTGGATGGTTAGGGCTTTGAAGAATTGCTGAAGAGTTCAAATTTGTAGAAGTGAGATTTATCAGTAGACAGTAGCTATATTGAGCTGAAGGGTTGTAGGTAAAGTTCTGAATTAATTAAGTAGGCATAAAGCAGTGGTATAATAGAAAGTTGACCAAATGAGGCAGCAGATGAGCTCTCCAAAGGAGATTTAGTATCCAGGAGAACATTTTATGGACCCTCTTGGGATTAGGAGAAGGGAGATGTATGCAGTGGTGTATTGCCTGCTTTTATTGTACCAGGTAACCCTAATCTAGATTGCTTTAGTTTTAGAGAACTCCTGGAAGGATGGTTTAGTTTGGCACCACGAACATGACATAAATCTCCCACGACAGCATAGGCCACTCCAGATCCCCTCTGGTCTCCTCCATTTGTATGTGCCACACTAACGCCAGCAAGAGCCACGGTGGGCCAGGGGCCAAGGAAGCAACAATATTAGCAGCTGTGTTTACAGCCTTCCAACTCTGTGGTAACTTTTGCTGTCTTTGATTATTTGTGAATTCTGTGAGCTTTCTTTTTTATTAGTAAATCACTTTTTTTCATGTAAAATGTAGATTTTTTTTTAAGTACAGTACTTTTGCCACAAAATATTGTGGTTTTGGTCTCAGATCTTTATATTTTAATTTTGCCATATTTTAGTCAATGAATGAAACATATCACATCCTAAGATTATTTTTGCCTAGTAGCTGGACAGGTAAACCCCCAAACCATTGAGGGTTTGGGGGGGTTTTGGTTTTTTGTTTTAGTTGGTTAAATGTGTGAATTAAAGCTCTCCAGGGAAACTTGGCTATAAATTTCAGAACCTTTGTTTCATATTACAGACAGTGAAATTGTGAACAGCCAGAATTTTCAGGGATGTCCTGGTCTGTGTAGTTGGATTTTCATGATATCTAAGTATTACCAAGAAGTTTTTTGTTTTCACCCTCTGTTTTAAATTCCTTCAAGTAGAAGATACCCCTTAGTTAATATTTTAAATATGTTATGGCTTTCAGTGAGTCAAGTCGTTGTTCTTTTTGTCCCTGAGCACTGTAGGGCGCTGTTAGGCCTGAGATACTGGGATGAATCTCTGCCAACCCCAGAACCTCCAAAGAGATTTTCTCTTTTGACTGAATCCTTGATGCGAGCTTGTTTTTCTTCTTGTCTTTTAAAGAGGCAATAAGGGAAATATAATTGATGTTCCAGGTTATTGGTTTCTGGTTAATTGAACTGGTAGTTTAGTATTAAAAGCCCATTCTTGGGAACTCCCTGACAGTCCAGTGGTTAGGACTCTCTGCTTTCACTGCTGAGGACCCAGGTTCAATCCCGGGTCAGGGAACTAAGATCCTGCAAGCTGCATGGTGTGGCCAAAAAAAAAAGAAAAAAGCCCATACTTAATCTGTGTAACATTTCAAAATAGTATGTATTTATTTCTGATTATAAAAATTTTACATATTTATTGTACATTTTTTTATAGAGGACAAAAAATGAAAGATGACAGTACCTGCACTTTGAGACTTTGTCTTTTTCCGCACACAGGTGTATGCACTTCTTAAGCCTCCCCGCCCCCCTTTTTCACATTGGATTCGTACTGTACGTTCTGTCTTGTAACCAGCTTCTACCTGATCCTTTTGTCGTTAAGTGTTCTCCCACAACCTAATTCTTAAGGGCTACATAGTATTCCCACATATAAATACTATTTAATGTACATAAGCAAAACCATGTTGCAAGACACTGAGGTTGTCTTTGGTTTTCCACTATTTTACACGTATATAACGCTGTGGCAAATACCCTTTATGTAAATCTTAGGGCAGATTCCCGAAAATGGACTTTGGAGTCAGAGTGTATATAGCTGTCCCTCAGTATAATCACAGGATTGGTTCCAGGACCCACTGCAGATACCCGAGTCTACGGATGCCCAAGTCCCATAGTCATCCCTCCACACCCACGGGTTCAACCAACCCAGGATATGGAGAGCTGAGTGTACACATTTTTAACTTTTGCTACCTTTTGGTTTCCATGGTATTTGTTTATATTTTCACCTGCCGTATTTAAGAGTTCCTATTTTTCTGAATTCTCAACTACTCTTGATCATAATTTTTTAATATTATGACTTTTTAATTAGAATGTCTAAAAATATATATTAGGAAGTTGTCTTGCAGCCTTTAAGCCTTATCTGTTTAGCCTACCAAGCATAACAGGTTCAAGAACTTTTTATAGAAAATAACTTTTTGACTGATTAGAAAATAAATACAGGTGCATTGTAGATAATTTAGACAATACCAACAGCAGAAAGTAGAAAAGAGGTATCATTAAGAATCCTTTTAACATAGACAAGGTCTTATGTGCAATTTTATGTCCCACTTTTTCTGCTTAATTTTTCTCATATATTTTTTCTGTTACATTAAAATCTTTCTCATAAACATCATTTAGGGCTGCATAAAATCCATTGTATGGCTATATCATGATTTACCCAACCATTCCTCCTAGGCTGTCTCTCAATTCTTGCTGTTCTGTATAACCTTGTGATGGATATCACGTGCAAGAAACTTTGTTTGCATTTTAGTCATTCCTTAGGACGGATTCTATGAAGTAAAATTCATGTGTCACAGTAGGAGTGAACACTTTGAAAGCTCTTGATGCATATAGCCAAATGTCCTGCGAAGCTGTGCCAGTTACACTTATACCAGCAGTGCATGAGCACGCCCATCATGGCAGCCTCGTCACCACTGAGCCGGCCGTACTGTTTAGAGTCTTTGCTAATTTAACAGGTGAAATGGTTTCAGGTGTTTTAACCAAGAACTTTTTTCTTAAACAAATAAGAAATCATGAGAAACAGGGCTGTGGATTAAGTAGCATTCTGTCATTGTTTTATTCATAGTATCGAATGTAACTTACAAATGTGACCAAGTTGTTTTTGTACTGAAGTCTCTTGCTGAGGTCAACATACCTCCCCCCAAAATATATTAGGTATGTTACTTTTTTTCTTAAGCCATGGGTAATTTTTAAATTTCTGTCATTTTGAAAAGTCATTGCCAAGAAACCATACCGTGCTGCGGTTTGACCAAATGTTACCACCTTAAACTGCCCTGGCTTGAGACTTCCACTCCTTGTTCCTGGTTTCCCAGTCAGTTTGTGATAAGAATAAACATCATCTGTAATTACTTGACCAAGTCATTTAAAATCCCTATTCCTCAGTTTAATAGCTTGCTCCTCCCTTCCTTATTGATGTATCATGAATAAAAGGGCCACGTGAAGTATTTTTTCCTTCTTAAAAGGTAGGCACAGGATGTAGACTAGATAAAATGTGGTTTGGGTTCATGGTATTTTTGGATACATCGAAGTAACCTAAACAGCAAATTGGTTTTTTGTTGTTGTTGTTTTTTGTTGTTTTTTTTGCGGTACACAGGCCTCTCACTGCTGTGGCCTCTCCCGTTGCGGAGCACAGGCTCCAGACGCGCAGGCTCAGCGGCCATGGCTCACGGGCCCAGCCGCTCCATGGCATGTGGGATCCTCCCGGACCGGGGCGTGAACCCATGTCCCCTGCATCGGCAGGTGGACTCTCAACCACTGCGCCACCAGAGAAGCCCGCAAATTGTATTTTGAGATCCTCGGAAGAAAGGTGCTCCAAGCATCTGAGAGAATACTATTGGGGGTGGTATTTATAAGTTTGTAAGCTAACACTGAAATTTTAAAATAAGTGTTGTCTCTAGTTTGTACTGACGGGGAAACTGAGGCACGGGGGATTAAATGACAGGGCCAAGGTTACAAAATGAGTTATTGACAGCTCCGGAAACTGAAGATCTTTCTTATTTACATACCAGATAGAGCATGGGTGGTGTCAGCCAAAGTTGCTCTCGTGCTGTTTCCTTCCAGACGATTCATTCCTATCCTTTGGGGCTTGCCTCCAAGGGTGAGAAGGTAGTTCAGGTTCCACAGCCTGAAGTCCTTAGTCTCTCTGCAGAGGCTTCCAACAAGCTGCCAAGTTACTGCCAAAAGTGAGACAGGTGCTATTTTTTTTATGACGTTGGCCCCAGACAGAGACTGCTACTGATTCTCCTCAGGCTACTCTTTGCAGAGCTGAAGGATGGTATCAGCTTTGTGATGGCTGACCAGGGTAGGATCTATGCAAGTAAATGCAGTGAACAGTCTCTGTCCTGTTGTCATAGCTAGGGCTGTCTGGTCTTGGAGTATCCTGAAGGTGAGGGATGGATTGTGCCCTGGACTTGCACACCTGTATTTTGAGGAAATGCCCTACATGACCTTTCCTGTGTGTTGAGATGAAAGTCTAGAGGTCCTGGAACTGCACATGATGCCTGAAGAGCCACTTAAAGGGCCCTCCGCCAGGGCCCCAACCGTGTCTTGTTCCTGGATGCCAGATGGGGGCCTCCATGAACACAGACCTCCAAGGCCTAGAGAGGGGGAAACTGGAGGAGGGAGGTTTGAATTCAGCCGTCAGGAGTGAAAGAGGTGAGCAGGAGGCTTGGGTGAGGGATCAGGAGCCACAGACCAGATGAACTGACTTTGAGAAAAGTTATTTCATGTGGATGAAATGAAGCTATTGATCCATTAATGTTTAAGGAATTTGAAACATCCATTAAAATATAAAGTGAATTAAATGACTGATTTTCAAGGGAAGGGCATCCCCAAGAAATAGCATGGGGAGTGGCATCTTTAACCAAAAAGAAAAAGAAACAGGGACTGTGGGGTGGTTATGAGGGACATGGAAACAGCCGAGATGGTCCCAAGAGGCATAATTTCTAAGAGGCTTTAACACCTGTTACCCTGCCTATAGTGTGGTTTTAGAGGTAAGTACAAACTGGTTTTGTTTGTAGCTTTGGTGTGGAATCAGGTAGTGTTGTCTGCTGAGTGTACACCTTTACTTCATTAACTACAAGTAACAGTGATTCTATCTTACATTCTAGGAGTTTTATTCTAAATTAGCAATATGACTTTCATCTCTTGAGTTGTTTTTAAATTGTTTTTAATTTGTGATTGAGTCTTCATGAGCTTTAGTGTGTCATCGGGGAATAGTTGATCTCTTTTCTTGTGAGACCTTTTAATTTCATTTACCCTTAGTGTGGATAAGTGTCAGAAAATTGAAATGTACACGGGTATGATTATGTTTGCTCCCCTTTAAGGAAAGCAGCCCTGTTGACTTTAAAAGGTCACAGTGAAACACTTCATTATGACAGAGGGGTTATGGTTGTGATAGTTTGATCCACAAACTATTTGCACGTATGTTGCTTCCTGCGGGTGGTCCCATTTTATAGGATAGAAATATGGTAGCAGCCTAGTAAAAGTGAATTTGCTTAGTTCATTTTTGAAAGGCTTTTGGATAGTTGAAACAAAATGGCAAATAGGCCCATAGACCAGTTACAAAGTAAGACTAGATTTGAAATTGGGTACAGATTCCTCTCTTCCTCCTGCTTTCTGAAGGAATTTTGTATTATCACTTAGTTTTTAGAATAATGATTGTTTCTGTTCTCTTTTCCTCACTCCAGTATGTGAATATTCCTTCAGAGATGGGCTGGTATTTTCTTAATGATTTGTTATCTTTCTCTGTTTTCCTAGACTGGTGTTAAAATTTTGATAACTGACATGCAGGTTTGGTTCCACTATTAGCTTAGAGGATGTTCACAGCTTACTAGTACACACCAGATGCAGAAGTGGTATTTCTTGCCATTTAATATTTCTCATAAGATGCCAATATTCATGTGGGCATTTGTCTTCCACAGCATATAATTTGATGTAACTGATTTTCTGTGCTAGAGCTTGTGTTTCTCAAACTGTTTGCTCTGTGGACCACTTCTTTCCACTGGTGTGGAGATAGTAGAACATGGTGTTGGAGTGTTGATTTTAGGTTAGGACCTAGGGTTGAAGAATCCCAGGTGTTGGGTAGCCTTTACTTAACTGCTGTAAGCGTTCATTTCTTCATCTATGAGATTATCAGTAAATCTCAGAGTTGTGAACATTATTGTAAAGGATTTTGAAAAGGGAAAGAGTCCTGGTGGGCTAGAGTAGTCATGTTAATAGTGGTTTGGAGTTAAATCAGATCATAGATGGCTGTCATCTGCAAAGTAGTTTTCTGGTTGCTGCCATAATCTTTGTATAATTGGAAGTCTGTAAACTTTATAGCATTCTTTGATTTCTCATCCATTTTTTTCCCACACCATTCATGCTTATATTTTTTGGTCCCGGTCACCATTCCTTACAAAACTAATTAAATGCATTCTTAAATACATAATACTGTCAATATCCATTCACATCTACCACCTCTAGGCCAAACCTTCCATCATCTCTATGCTGGTCTAATTTTTGCTGAGCCTTAAAACCAAAGACAGATTCCAGGGGTTAATATGGGGCCTCCAGAATGGGGATTGCACAGAATAATCTTATTTTTCCTCTATTCTTCTAGTCTGTTATGTTCTGAACCCACACATGTTTTCGGAAGGACCAGATGGCTGACACTGGCTAATGGGAACCAAAAGACGAGTGAAAGTAACCTGGTTGTCACATACTCCAAGCTTAGGGGTGCTTCACCTGCCCCAAGATCAATTTCTTTTTTCCTCTGGAGAATTGACCCAGCTGTATCAAAAAACGTTAATACAGCCTGGCTTATCTAAGGTTAGATTATCAAGTCAAGCAGCAGCATTTGTTGAATTTCAAAGGATTGTGCTCAGGACTGTGGGAGAAAAGAAACAGCTGCCTTTACAAAGGCACTGTGACCTTGTGGTTAAGAGCTTGGGTTTTGGAGTCAGATGGACCTGGGTTCTAATCCAGCTATACCGCTTAGGAGCGCCTTGACTACAAGCCAGTTGCTTAGCCTCTCCCAGTCTCATTTTTCTCATTGTAAAATGGGAGTAATAGTAGTAGTAGTAGTGCATTCTTCGCATATGATATGAGGAATGAATGAAATATTATAGATGAATTATTTACTGTGTGCCAGGCACTCTTCTAAATATTAGCCTTTGTTAATATTAAAGAGCTCATAATCAAATGAGAGGATAAGCACAAACGAAAAAGAACAAGGCTTGAAAGGTCAACAAAACATTATCATGTAAAACATAAAATTGAGTAGAAGTGCTAATGCTAAAGACAGTGCTAAAATGCTTAGAGTCCGGCAAGTTTCTGAGACTTCATGAAAGAGAATTCTCAAGTCTATGGAAGATGGTTGCTGTGATTCACCTTGCATAATCAAGGCATTCCAGGTTTAGAGAATGGCATCAACAAAGATCTTTAGGAGTCAGTATAGACCTCTGAGCAAAAGAATGATAAAGCAGCAGACTTTCCCCACTACATTTAAAGAGACAAGTTGACTAAGTAAAAATAGCCATATTCTTGAACGAAGGAAGGTGATCACACAGGAAGAGACCGCCCTGGGGGCCCAGCAGAAAGAGCACACTGTAAAACTAGACAGTGCACTAAGTGGGCAACCAGAGAAGAACAGCCAAAGGCAATGACAGTGTTTTTAGGAGTGAATCAGGTGGTCAGGGGACCGAGAAGAGAGGAATCATGAGGTAGGTTTTCTTCTTTGAAGGTGGGGAAAGATCAAGTGCAGACTGAGCTGTGGCCAACGTTTGCAGACCAGGAATCCACACTAGCTCTAAGCAAAGAGCCCTTGGTGTGCGGGAACTGCCAGTTTGCCGACGCGAAAAGAGCCCCAGACTGGGTACTGGTGAGCCCTGAAGCCGCACCCCAGCTCTGCCACTCAGTGAGCACGGGTAAGTCATCCACCTTCCACGGGTGGCCGTGATGGCCCTCCCTCCTGAGGCCAAAGAGAGGGAGGCCGGAATGCCCAGAGCAGCCTCCTTCCTGTCTCAGGATCAAAAGGATCTCAGGAACCCACTTCGTGTGGTAGGAGCTCCTAGTGGTGGGTTATAAACAACCCTCGGTTACTGGGATAGTCAAATTGCAACCATAATCCGTGACTCAGAGCAGTGAATGTGATATTGGTTAATTCTACTTGGAGGGCCTGACCACTGCTTCCCTGGAATTTTGCAGACCTTTGGAATCGGGGGCACTTACATGGTTGTCACTCACAAGCATTCTCTGAGTTGGCCTCACCTGAGCACTAGAGAGTTGGTTGCAGAAGTGTCTTTCTGCAGTTTACCAAGCACTTTATGCAGAGAGCGAGAACTTCCATTTTTTATTACTATCCTGTTAGTGTGCCCTAACTTTTTTCACCTCATAACACAAGCTGGCTGAAGCCTAGGATCAACACTGAGTGCTTTGAAAGAGAGCTGTTTGATTCCTGTTCACTGAATGCCGTTTCTTTCAGGGTAGATTTAAGGGCTCTGCCCTTAAAGTACATTGCTGTTGACCCTAGTTTCAGGGTTCAAGCCACCCCATGGGTTAACTTCAACAGATGAAAATTTTTCCTTGGCTACAGCAACATCCCTAATCCTGACCAGCCATGGAGAGGTTCGGTTCTTGCAAGGAAAATGAGTGAATGTGGGAATGGCTCACCACATTGGGAAAACAAAACTCACATCCTGCTGATGGTTGGCTGAGGACTGTCATGTCCACATACAAAGAAAAGCATGTGGCACAGTTTTAGGACAAAGGTGAGCAGAGATCCACCGTGGAAAGGGGCAAATTTTTCTTATAGAGAGAACATCCAAGGCGTGCCCCGGCGGTAAGCAGTACTGGCGGGTGACAGCAGGCACACGCATGGAGGCTTGCTTTCCCTCGCTCCTCGTCCCCACGCCCCGTCAGTCAGCTGGTGGTGCGCACCCCCTTAGTCATGCCCTGTTCAGTGAAGATGTTTGGAAGACGGAGGTGGCCCTAAGCCATTTCTGGAGGGGTGAGATAGACTCCCCAGCCTCTTTAGTAGGACATACAGCGTGGTATTTGGGACCATTGGTGTAGGTTATTAGATCAGGGGAAGACTATTCAGCAACAACACAACCTCAGGTGGTAATTTTTCTTGGGTGAAAAAGTGTGATTAACATTTTGAAAATTGAAGTCTTGGAGTACTTTAGTTTTAAAAACATGTCATTCCAGTTCTAGAATTTCAGAGTTCTGACTGATAGTCTGAGCAGTACATCAGCTGTTGAATGAGGAAGACCAGCACAATTGGCAGTGGTATAAGAATGGACTAAAGTTTAGAACAGCCCACGTAATTCAACGTGGCTTTTGTTTGTGGTATCCAGAATACCTACCTATAGTTGGTAAGAATCATGGTGCCCACTTTTCTTAGAAAATGGCAGTAATTCCTCGGCCATCATTTTTTGACTAAATTTGTTGGGATTAAATGCGATCTAGAGGAAAAGAGTGGGAAAAGGCAATCGCAGAGAAACATTCAAGAAAGGAGTTTTTCTTTTAATTGAAAAAATTTACATTTAATAGGCCATGCTTTTTGTTCTTTCACATAGGTGTAGAGAGAAAGGTTGAAAGATACAACATCTGGGAGTCAAGCCAGAGGAGGCATATTGGTGGGGTTTTGGTTTGGTTTGGTTTTTGTCAGTCCCTACCTTAGAGGGATTTATTAATTTGTCGTAGATTCATTCTCCTGAATTCCTTCATCTTCTTCATTCTCATACTAGAATTACTGAAAGATGGTTGTTTTTAATAGAGAAGAGGAGGGGTGTCTGCAGCTAGAATTGAGAAATTTATCTGCTGGGTTATGTTTGTAAGGCTTATCTACAGGTCACACCAGAGATATGTCTACATAAATACACACATGCCAAAACATAGTGTGTGCACACATGAATGCGTGTATTTTATATCCCTCCTTTGACAAATGATTCAAAAGGAGAGTACTTTTTGGGAGAGGAGATTAAAGCACAAAGGGATGTTAAGATCGATTTAGAAAGATTCTCCCATGTTACCAGGAAGAGCTTTGCTTTCTTAAAGGCACTAGAATTTAATTCAGAGACAGTTAAACTATTTAAATAAAACTAAAATTTCATCCCATTGTTAAGCCAGAGGAAGACTAATTTTCATTTTAACTGTCATACTTTTGATGTTAGGAGAAACCTCAGAGATACGTAGTATAGCTCCCTCATTTCACGGATAAACTAGGATCCAGAGAAATAAAATGATTTAAATGTGCTTTTCAGAGTTGGTTTATTGCAGAACCAGGACTAGAACCCAGGCCAGTTCCTGCTGCTCCAGTTTTAGGTAGAGTTCTGGAGTCATGCCACAGGCTTTGAATGTCAGCTTTGCTGTTTTATTATGCACATTGTTTAATGCGATGTGCCTCAGTTTCCTCATCTGTAAAACAGATAACAGTACCTGGCTCTTGGGTATTGTGATTATTAAATAAGATAACATTGTTTAGTACATAGAGATTACTTAATAAATATTAAGTACCATTTTATTGTTGCTATCTAGTCTTCCTGCCTTAATTGGGGAACCCATTCACTCCACTTACTTACCAATTACTCCAGTTACTTACCGAGTGAAGTAATTCTTGCAGTAAAACTGATCTAAATAAACAGTGATGTGGTAGAAACGACCACACACTGATCTGGTCTTTACTTTGCTCTCAGAACAGGAATCCTGTCAGGTATGGTTTATGGTGCAGGAGTATATTTGGTTTAGTCTTCCAGGCCCACCCAGCATGTCAGTGACAGAGGGAAGTGACAGTCAGGTTCCTGATTTAATCCTTGGACTGGATTTTGACACTAAAATGTTCCAAATAGATTTTGTGGCTTTTCACAGAGTAGTAGCCAAGATTTTTCTGTGAAATAAATTTGATCTTAAGTCAGCTGTTTTAATAAGTTACTAGGATATCCCCAAAATGTGGCTAAGTAACTTGCTTGTTGAGGAAAATGGGGTGTTCTGTGACTTCTTTATTTAATCCTCGGGAGTCAGCGTTGTCCTTATGACATCACATCAGATGAGTTAGGGGCACTGAATGGTGCCAAGGCAGTGTGAACTCTTAGAGGGGCATGGAGGCCATTTTATCATGCCCATGTTGGATGTTTTCTCTCATCCCTCTATACTTGGCACCTGGGCAGGTGGACAAAGCAGACCTGTAACCAATCTTGACAACTAAATTAAGGAAGGTACTCTTGGGGGCAGGAGGTATTTTATGATCTATTTAGGAATAAACCAAAGCAGAAAGTAGTTAGATTTGATTTTTTTATTAGCTCTTTTTTATTTATTTTGTCTCTAAAAATGATAGTATAGCTTTCCTGATGACTCACTCTATTTAGGAAAGAAAAAAGTACCTGCAATATATTTTATCTATTAAAGATTTTTAATGATCATAAAGCACTTTTTAACATAGGAAGGTATTGATTTGGAGAGGCTTTACTTTGCCAAATATGACAATCATGGTCAAAATCATTCTTATTACGCTGCTCGGCAATTCCAGCTTACGGAAGTGTGAAACCATGTTTTAAAGATTTCATAACCCATAAGTTGAGCCAGGTGTCTTCTGAATTGTGTTATTGCAGAACATTTCCCATTAAACACTGGGTGTTTCTGTGTTTCTTTTCTTTAATGGAGTTGAGATTCAGTGCCTCTTAAAGTTTGAATGCCACTCATAGACATTTCAGCATAAAGAACCCTCCAAAGTTTTTAGCTGTACATTGTCACCTTGAGAGACTCTTGTTTGCTAGAAACTCTTTAATCTTTAGCAAAGGAGGAATTCCTCAATTCTGAGTTCTCTCACTTAACATGTTGCTGAGTACAGCATTACATGCTAAAGAAACCGGAATAATTTTGGTCAGGCTGGATAAGCTTCTGGCAAGTCTTGTAACCTGTTTTTAGTTCCAGTAGGTGTAAACCCAGAGGGAAACGGTAGTCAGTATCTGCCTATATACATAGCTCTGTTAGAGTTTAAAGATGCTGCTTGTAACTTGTATGATTAAGATGGCTTTAGTTTGTAGGTATAGGCAGTGCTCACAAAGCTAGACTTTTCACAGCCACATCAGAGCAAACTAAAAGTTTCTTGATAACAGTTGATAGGGCGTTTGTTTAACCTTGCTTATAAATATCTTACAAATTTTGCCTTTTAGTTTTATAATTTGTACTCTTCAGCAGGCATTAATAGGATTGGGGTAGGGGGTTGTTTTCTTTTGGATATATGTTAAACCACCAAACCTGTTTGCTGGGAAATTCCTAGCACTACTGTGTAAAAGAAGTTTGCACAGTTTGTTTATAGATTTTAGAGAATTCCAGCCTACCTAAAACCTCATGGAAATGAATTTGGAATATCATGAGGAAGAGAATAGCTCCAGATTTTTTTCACTGGTAGTTTCTAGAATAGTTAATGCACTTGTGACTTATTTGTTTAGGTAGAGAAACGGGAACTTTAAAAAAAATTTTTTCTTTCACTGAGGAGAGTCAAGGTACTGTGATTTTTTTTTTTTTTTTTAACCTGGTTTGTTATTCCAAACATGATTTAACAGTTAAGACACAGTGCCTAAATGTAGGTCTAATTGTTCTCTAAGATACCACTTTGGGGCTAAAGCTAAAAAAAAAAATGAGTTTTTATGTGACTTGAAAGAGCAAATATTCAATCTTGTAGAATTATGTATTTTAATACCTTATACCAAGTATCCCTGTGGAGGTCTTTGCAGTTGCCACCAGCTACCTGGGGAACAGAAGAAGTGGTCTCTGTATATTTAGCCAGCCTCCTATTAGAAAGACAGGAGTCAGCCTTCAAAAGTCTCCCTGCCCTCTTGCAGTGCCTGTGGGCACAAAGCTGAGTGGTGTCTGCTAAAGGGAAGAGAAAGCTGGTCCGTAGTTTGCAAAACCCACCTAACCTGTGCTAAGCATGAACCTCATTGCTTTCTCTTTAATGTTAGTGGAGCTGGGTGTCAGAAGGGTGCCAGCCAGGACTTTGTTTGCTTTCTTCTAGATACGGGTTTGTGGAGTTTGATGATCTGCGAGACGCAGATGATGCGGTTTATGAGCTGAATGGCAAAGACCTTTGTGGTGAGCGAGTAATTGTTGAGCATGCCCGCGGCCCGCGACGGGATGGCAGTTACGGTTCTGGACGCAGTAAGCATTTAAAGGGCATTTGTATCAGTGACATGCCTCTGTTATTAAATGTTAATCTTTAAAGTAGTTAATTAATTAATGTTACATTGAAATGTATTGATATTTAAGCCATTTGTTTTATAAAATGTATGTATCTTTTTAAATGTAAAATTGCAAATAAACATCTTTAATAATGTTTAATTGTAATTAAATTAATGACATAAATTTCTTGTTTTAACACTTTATAATTATGTTTAATGATGTGTGTTTGTGTTGTTGTTTTTTTTCTCTGTAATGCAATTGTTTAACATAGATTTAACAAAGACCTCAATGTTTTAATTAAAAGAATCCTTTGAGGCTAAGATGACTGCCTGTTCCATTTGCTGACCTTGGGTTACCTTTCCATGCGTGGCTCTTTGAACCATTGTGGCCCTTGGCTGACCAAAAACAGGAAGCCATGTGACGACCGCAACCTTTCCCCATTAGACCTGGGTGGTGAGGATCCCAAGGGTTAGACACAGATGAGATTAAACTGAAATAGGTGCCTGAAAATCTTTTTTTCATATAAAATGTTCACAGAAACTTTAATCACTGTGAGTAACACCAGTAACTGATTTAGTAATTTGGTTATTGTTAAATTGTTGATAGTTTTTAATTTATGCATGTTAATTTTAAATATAAATATTAATGAATATACATACTTACAACTTTGTAAATTAAATTAAATTTTCATGTTAGCTGATTGCTCCTTTTTAAATCTAGATTAGAATTAAGGGTGGGGGTAGAGTTAAAATATATACTCTTTGGGGTGGGGGTAGATGGTATATTTAAGGGGAATATGTGCTGTATCATTTTTTCTTTTTCCTCCACTGAAGTAATCTCATCTATTTGAACCTTCCAAAGGTGGATATGGTTATAGAAGAAGTGGCCGAGATAAATATGGCCCTCCTACCCGCACAGAATACAGACTTATTGTGGAGAATTTGTCGAGTCGGTGCAGCTGGCAAGACCTAAAGGTTTGGGCCCTGTTAACCTTCTGGGTTACAGTTGGGCAGGAGTTAAAGTTGAGTTAAGGAAAGAGGTTATTTTATGCAGGCCCAGGCACACAGAGAAAACTTTCCCAAAGCATTTGGAGATTTTCCAATTAAAGTTTCCATAGGAACACAAAAGACACTGGAATCTCACTGCTACTGTATGTTATGGGGCCAGCATGCTAAGGACAACCTATGTTCTGTGAAATTTTCCTCTGTAGAGAGTGTTACAGAGAGGTAACAATGTAGTTTCTCCCTAATAAAGGAAAAACGGCAGCCGGCAGTTTCCTGCAGTATTAGTTGTAATATGCAAGTTTGTGTCAGCTTCCATTGTAGAGCCGCATTGGTGAAAATGACTATCTGACCCATGTTCTTTTCTAAGATTTGTTTTTCATTGAATATTTGTCCTGAAAGAGTTTTAATGTCAAAAAGTACAGTCCTGTGGTGTACTGGCCATGCAGTGTACTGATCACAGCTCGTTTTTTGAAAATGGTGTTGGTTTTTAATCTCAAAAGAGAAAAACCTTATTGAGCGTGCCTTAACCTGGATGGTCTTAGGAGGGCAAATGTAAAGGTTGCTCAGAGTTTCCTATCTCACTTCTCATTTTAAGTCCATCATTAAACAAGTCATCTCTAGCAAAATGAGTGAGTATGTTTAGGTTCAGCAAAAAGTAGTAACTTATCAAAGCACTTTTACATCTTTTTTTTTTCTTTTTTTTTTACATCTTTATTGGAGTATAATTGCTTTACAATGGTGTGTTAGTTTCTGCTTTATAACAAAGTGAATCTTTTTTCTTTTTTTCATGTGCTCTCAACAGTCCTTAGCGAACAAAGATAAGATCCAGAAAACGTTAATTCGCACAGTTGGTCGTAGCAGAAGAGCTGAGACTAAAACATATGCTGGTATTTTTTCTAGTACACTGTGTTGGTTGTCAGTATTACAGCAGGCCCTTACTGAGTGTCTGCCAACAGGGCTGTCCTCTGAAGGAGTGACTCCAGTATTCTGAGAGTTAGGATTGAACATTCTGGGTAGAAACTAGAGAGGCTTTCAAACTTGGGGTTAAAACGGAGCCTAGCCAGCCTCCTCAGTTGGTTTTATACTTCTGTGTGTTTGGCAGTTTCCCTCTCAGCAAAGGAGAGGAGTCGAGCCAATTTCCCAGGAAGTCAAGGGAGCCTTCAGAGCAGGACTTTGGAGCTCACCTGCCTGGGTGGAATCCCAGCTCTGCCACTTATCAGTTATTTTACTCCAGCAACTTACTTTCCTCTTGCACTTCATATTCCTCAACTATAAAATGGGAGAAATACTCATTTCTACTCAGAGTTATTGTGAGAAATGAATGCATTTTTATATAAAAAGCCTAGAATGGTTCCAGGCACAAATGCTAGCTATTAATCACAGAAATGCAAAAATAAAACTAATGTAGGGTGGTATATTGTTAGTTTTTTAAAATGTATAAATTCATAATACCCAGTGGTGGTGTTGAGTTGAAATTTATAGAGTAGTGGCATTGAGAATTGGTCGTTTTACCCACGGTGCGGGTGTTGCTAAGAATTTAGGTCCAGAAGTCTGGCTGCTTATGTTCAGACCCCAGCTCCTTCACTTACTACCTGAACGACCTTGAGCAGTTTGCTTAATATCTCTTGTATTTCACTTCCCTGTAAAATAGGGATAATGATTGTATCTACCTCATGTGGCTGTAAATAGGACTAAGTTAATTAAATCCTACCTATCATCCAGTGAACATTCGATATGTTATCAGCTATTATTATTAATTTGGAAGTATGGCAATATCTCAACTTGCCCAGGACAGTCCCAGGTGTGGCATAACTTAATAGCATCTTCCTTTACTCTTAGATGTATCCCAGTTTGGATGATAAATTATATGGGCTCCCTGCCTTTTTCCCAGAGCCCCCATTCCTTCAAATAATTCAGCTGAAGTAAAGAAATTTTTGCATGAAGACGGTCATTGCTAGATTATGAATAACGGCCAAGGACTGTATATAAAACGCAGAAGTCCCAGCAATTGGGAAATCCTCAGAAAAAGTATTGGACACACTAATTATGAAGAATGTAATGTATGTTAAGACATGTAAACATTTTATGATGCAGTGAGCAGAGGAATAGTATCAAATGGCATATAGTCAGTGTTTGTAACTTTGCAAAATAGGGAGAGGAAAGCAGTAACAAAAATGCACTGCTGTTGAATATTCATGTATTCATTCCACAACTGTTCATTATTGAGTATATATTATATACAAACAAACATGGGGAAATTGGCCACAAGACCCCAGATTTCATTTCCTGTTTAAACACTAATCACATCTTCTCTTATTTATATATCACTTCAGTATTTATCTGTCATGTTAGTTGTATTCTCTCATTGGGTTATATTAAGTCCTCAAAGAGAATGAGGAAAGAGGCTTACAGTGGTGAAGGGACATGGGTGGTCATTCCACTTCAAAGCCAGAGCTGGAAAATATTGTTCTGTCGTCTTTTTGTCTTTCGTAATCCATTTTTGAATTTGTTTACCTTTTACCTTAGATATTTATCCACAGCTATACATGTTTTCAATAAGAATTTATGATGAAATGCAAAAGACCTGAGTTAAATGTAGTAACTTGAGCTTCTAAAGCTTCTATAAACAAAGAACTTGCCACTATAAAATTTGGGAAATGATAGTTAACTAAAAAATTTTATATTCAAACAAAACTATTTAAAGAAACAGTTAAATTATTTATTTATTATCTCTACTACCCACCTAATGCCTAACACTTCAGAGAACCTCAGTAAATGGTCGATGTGTAGCTGGAAGTACTTAAGAGTCAACTTCATTCTGAGGAAAGCTAGCATTTCTTCCTAAAGGAAAGGGAAAACTTTCATTATGATGATGTTAGATATTTTCACAAAATGTGTCTTAACCTATTGGGGGATTTTGTTTTTCTTCAGGATTATATGCGTCAGGCGGGAGAAGTGACCTATGCAGATGCTCACAAGGGACGCAAAAATGAAGGGGTGATTGAATTTGTGTCTTACTCTGATATGAAAAGAGCTTTGGAAAAGTTAGATGGAACTGAAGTCAATGGCAGAAAAATCAGATTAGTTGAAGACAAGCCTGGTTCTAGACGACGCCGGTCCTACTCCAGGAGCCGGAGTCACTCAAGGTACTACTGATGTGTCGGCGCTTGCTGTAAATTCATTAATGAGCACATAGATAATCCATTTTCATTCTTCTGTTGAAGTCTCAGTACCATGGTGCCGTCTGGTCCACTTACTCAGAACTTTGAACTGAACATTTATTTGTAAAACTCTTGAACTCTTTTGTCATGAGTACAAATAGAAGTAAAGTCCTTTTTCTGACGCAGGTATCAGTGACCTTCTCTCACGTTTCTTCTTGGGTCCCCTAAATCACACCATTACTGGGGGTGAACATGACAGCTCACCCCTTGTTACTCTCCCAGATACTCCAGCTACTCAGGAGTGGAGACTTTGTCTTATTTGGTGGCTGTTTTGCAGATGGGCCAGGCATGTGTGAACAAGACACACATGCTCCGTGCCCTCATGAAACTCAATCTAGTGGAGAAGACGGGCATTGAGCAAATAATTACCATTGTGATAAGTATGTCAGAGGGAAAGTACGTGGCCCAACTCGTCCAGAGAGCTGGCAGAGGCTTCCCTAAGGACATGTCATAGAAGCTGAGACCTAAAGGATGAGTTGGACATGGTGGGCAGAGAGGGGGGATAGTGCCTTTTTAGCAGAGAGCGCAGCATATTCTGAAGGCCCTGTTGTGGGGAAGGAGGAAGCAGAGGAGCGTGGCTTGAGATGAGGCAAAGAAGAGCGAGATCCTGCTGAGCCACAGGCCAGGTTAAGGGTTTAAGAGTAGCGGGAAGTCATTAGTCAAAGCTTTTCAGGTTTTGTTGTTTTGTTGTTTAACTCTTTATTATGGAAAACAATACATAAAGCATTAGAGAAAATATGAACCTTGAGTCCCCTTACACTTATCACCCATCCAGCTTCAGTATCTTTTATTTTGCCAGTCTTGTTTCATCACCCCCTCCTGCTTCATTGTTTGAAGGCAAATCTAGACATCCTGTCATTCTGCCTATAAAGTGGGTACCTCTAACCTTTTATTTTATAAATTTATTTATTTACTTTATAAATTGATTGATTGATTTTTGGCTGCATTGGGTCTTCGTTGCTGTGCCTGGGCTTTCTTTAGTCGTATCATACAGGGGTTATTCTTCATTGCGGTGCACGGGCTTCTCATTTCGGTGGCTTCTCCTGTTGCGGAGCACGGGCTCTAGGTGCATGGCCTTCAGTAGTTGAAGCATGCGGGCTCAGTAGTTGTGGCTCGTGGGCTCTAGAGCGCGGGCTCAGCAGTTGTGGTACACAGGCTTAGTTGCTCCGCGGCATGTGGGAATCTTCCCACACCAGGGCTCGAACCCGTGTTCCTTGCATTGGCAGGTGGATTCTTAACCACTGCGCCACCAGGGAAGCCCTAACCTTTTAAATAAAATCATGAGGCCATACCACAGCAACACATCTGTATTCAACTTTCCCCAATTGCCTCAAATATGTATGTATTTTTGTTGTTGGTTTGTTCATATTAGAATCCCAACTAGGCGTACACATTGCAATCAGATGACATGTGTCTTAATTCTCCTTTTAATCATGGCTGCATCCTCCTTCACCCTCTTTTTATTTTCCATCCATTTAGTTGTGGAAGAAACGGTTTTCTGTTTTGAAGATTTTTCCATAGTTGAGATTTTGCAGATTGTGCTCTTCTGGTGATGTCTAACACATCCCTTTATCCTGTCCCTCATATTTCCTATAAAGTCATAGTTAGGTCTTGGCGGGCATTTAGAGTAAGGCCAGTATTTTAGCAGGTCCTTTATACTTCCTGTTGCAGCACTTGTGTGGTGTCTGGATGTCCCACTTTGAATGATGATAACATGCATCCATGTGAGCCGTCCATTATACAGTTCTGCACCAGCATTCCACCCAATAGTGGAATTATTAACATCTGCTGATAATCATTACCTCGAGCCATTCAGCTGTGGTTGTAACATTCTGACTGTCTAGTTTTCTGTTCTTTGTGCATTTAAAGGCTGTAGTTCTATGAAGGATGATTTCCCTCTTCCACCCTTTTGCTACCACCCTAAAATAAATTTTTTATAAGAAGTGGAAAATAAAAATTGATACCTTTATTTACCAATTTCCAGTATATTGAATGTGCCCAGCAACACCCAAAGGTGGTGGTGAGGTTGCTTGTTTAGTATTATTTTGAATGAGTTCTTGGATCTTTGCATATTTAATGTTTGGTCCATTGCAGTCAATTTGTTTTTGCTCAGATTGTTCTGTCTTTGGTCATTGGGAGCCCTTCAGGTTGGCTTCTCTGTCTTTTGGTTTTGTTTGATTTTTCTGTGACTGTGCTTTACTAAATACTTCCCCCGATTTTTTATTGCAGCATTTTCAAACATAAAATGTTGAAAGAATAGTTCATAAACACTCATATGCTCTCCTTATAGCTTCAGCAGTTACTAAAATTCTGCCTGTCTCTCTGTATATTTATAGACACGCCCTATACATAAATAAATGTAGCATTTGAAGGGAGGTTGTGGAGAGTGACACTTCACCCCCAAATACTTCAGCGTGTATCTCCAAGAATGCGGATAAGCACAATTGTGTCTTCCAGCCTAAGAACATTAACAGTGATCCCGTAAAGTCATCTAGTGTCCAGGCTGTATTCAGATTTCCCCAGTTGTTCATGGCTGTCCTTAGAGCTGTGTTTTCTCCTGGCCAGGATCCATCCAGTCATGTATTGCAAGGGGTTATTGGGTCTCTTCAGTCTGAAGCAGTCCCCCGCCTCATCCCCCCACCCCACCCCATGACAATTACTTTTCTTAGCTTTTTTTTTTTTTTTAAATACTGTCCCACATTCTGAATTTATGTTTCCTCTTTGTATTGTTGTACTTTATCCCCTGAGCTTCTATAAACTGGAAGTTAGGTCTAGAGAGGTGTGATTGAGACACAGATTAAACATTCTGAGCAAGAGTTCTTTCATAGATGATAGTGCCCAGGAATCTTTGAAAGTCTCTTTCCATCATGATGAGAGGTTCCGTCTTTGCCTTTCCTGCCCTGCACCTGGAATTGGTCATTTTCCCCAAGGGTTGCTTTTGGAAGGAAACGCCAGAGTCCACAGTCTCGGCTTATTAGAGACTCTTTAATCTTGGAGGGTACAGTTGACCCTTGAACAAGCGGGGTTGGGGTGCCAGCCCTTCACATCCACAGTGCCCACACCTGTGGATTCAGCCAGCCACAGATCGTGAGGTACTGTAGTGCGTATCTATTGAAAAACCCCGTGTGTAAGTGGCCCCGGGCAGTTCAGACCCATGTTGTTCAAGAGTCAGCTGTATTTTTAAAACAGCTCTCTGGTCTCAGTTGAATAAATAAGTGAAGGGCAAAAGTGTATGCAGGAAGACTGGTTAGGGGGCTGCTGCGGAACCAGGGAGAGTGGTGGTGGCTTGCTGGGGGGCAGCCGAGGTGGATGAACTGGAGAAGGTTGAGAGGAGATTCAGCAGTGCAGAAGAGGCTGAGGCAGAGAGGGGAGTCGAGGGTGGCTGTGGCTCCTCGTGTGAGGAACTGGTGAATAACAGCGGCATCGGTGGGAATAAGGAAGGAACCCAGCAAAAAGAACAGGTCTGGGAGGCAGTGGGCTCAGGAATGGAGGCACTACGAGTTTCAGGCAGGCCATCCAGGTGGAGTGTTTGCGGGTGACTGGATCTCTGGGCCCAGAGCACAGGAGAGAGTTCTCTTTCACCTTTGTGCCTGGACACAGCCAGGGCCATGCATATTTTTTGATAGAAAGGATGTCTGAATTGACTCTTTTCAGCCAGCGTTTTGTCAGCAAGTATTAAAAACAAAAAAACTTTCTCTCCTAGATCTCGCTCTCGAAGCAGACATTCTCGTAAGAGCAGAAGCCGAAGTGGCAGCAGCAAAAGCAGTCATTCTAAGAGTAGATCCCGATCCAGGTAGGTCTTCCTGGTATTCACGCAGGGCCCACGTGTACCGTTTCCCACTTTGGTGTTAATGGTGTTCCCAGTCTTCCCTCACCCAGGATTCCCAGCTCTGGACTGGAGTCTCGGGGGTTCAGAAAGCAGTCCTTGGCCAGCACAAGCCGGGCTTTGTATTGTGGGGCACAGCTCCACACATAGCTTTAGTCTGTTCTTCTCATGAGCAGCCTGAAAGTACGAAGCCACATGCGGCTTCGCCATCCCCGTGTCTCCCCAGGTCAGGCTCCCGTTCCCGGAGCAAGAGCCGCAGCCGCAGCCAGAGCCGCAGCCGCAGCAAGAAGGACAAGAGCCGGAGCCCCAGCAAGGACCAGAGCCGGAGCCGCAGCCGCAGCGCCGACAAGCGCCGCAGCAAGAGCAAGGACCAGGCCGAGGAGAAGGTCCAGAACAGCGACAGCACCGGCAAGTCCAAGAGCCGCAGCCCCAGCAGGCAGAAAAGCAAGAGCAAAAGCAGAAGCCGCAGTCAGGAGAGGGGCGCGCAGGAGAAGCGGGGCAGCGTGAGCAGGAGCCGGAGCCAGGAGAAGAGCCTGCGCAAGAGCCGCAGCCGCAGCCAAGGAGGCAGCCGCAGCCGCAGCCGCAGCAAAAGCAAGGACAAGAGGAAGGGGAGGAAGAGGAGCAGGGGGGAGAGCCGCAGCCGCAGCCGCAGCCACAGCCGCAGGAAGCGAGGCGGCAAGCGAGACAGCAAGTCGGGCAGCAGCAAGAAGAAGAAGAAGGAAGACGCCGACCGCTCCCAGTCCAGATCGCGATCCCGCTCGGGCTCGAAGGAGCGGGAACACGCCAAGTCTGAGTCTGGCCAGAGGGAAGGCCGAGGGGAGAGTGAGGATGCTGGCACCAATCAGGAGACCCGGTCCAGGTCGAGGTCCAATTCCAAATCAAAACCAAACCTCCCATCAGAATCACGCTCCAGATCAAAGTCCGCGTCAAAAACCCGATCCCGGTCCAAGTCTAGATCCAGGTCTGCGTCCAGATCGCGCTCCCGGTCTAGATCTAGGTCCCACTCAAGGTCCTAACTGGCTACGACCACAGCTGGAACTACCCGAGAAGTCTTTTGTACATGTTTGGTAGCCGTAGCACAAGTGATTGAAGTAGAACATATGTCACTGCTGTACATTTTTAACTCCCCTAATGGTGTGTCTACAATTGTTAAGTCTAAGCGCTTCCTCTCCGTAAAGCCTCCTGGCGTCAGGCCTTCCTGCTTGACTGAAAGCAGTCTTCTCTTTGAAAACCCCCTTTACTCATGGCCCACAGTAGAATATCCAAAATGCCTTGGCTTTGAGGCCTGGCCTTTCCTACAGGGAGCTCAGTACCTGGATGTCTTTAAGGCTGGAATGATGACATAGGTAGGTATGGTGAGTTCAACCATTTTGCCCTTGAATTGATGCCCTTTGATGTATGCCATTTAGTGAAAGTGCTAAGTCTTAAGTTTCCTCCCACTTTGGTTTCATATTTTTGGACTTAACAAAGTTGTGAATAGCACAGTCGAGGAAAATTGATACCTGCAGTAACCCATAGGAAATAAACTGTAGAGTTCCATATTCTGGTATTGTGATTATATTGTTTTATATTAAAAAAGAAAAGAAAAGAATTTTTTTTAATTTTATTTTTCCCCGTCTTGCAAAGTATAGTGACCCCTGTTTCCATTAAATTTGAATAAAGACTATTTTTGCTTGACAAAATTTCATGGTGCTTGAATTGATGTTGCATTTCCTGATCTATCTTGCTATCTTTTTCTTAGCATAAAAAGTTCATGGTATAATGGCTGTTTTGTTCCTTGAGCTCACCCATGGGTAGGTAGCCAACACTTTTCCTGAAGGATTTTTCTCACCCAACAGAAAAAAGTCGAGTTTCTTAGGGGTTTATAAATCCTTCCTATCAAGACTCCTATGGCCAAGCTGATAAGTGAATCAATTTGGCAACTCAGAGCATCACCAGATGAGCTCTTCATGAACAGAGTTCTTTCTTCTGTGCTGATTGTTGAATGTCTTGCCATGATGAATCTGAAGTGTAGGATACCTCATCGCCTTAGAATTTGGATTAATCAATCAAAACCAGGAAGAAAATCCATTCAGGATTACCCTTGTCCCACTCACTGTCTGCGTTACTTGTCTGACCTGTCTCTATAGGAGGTTCCAGAGATAGATAGAGTGGTTCTGATCTGGTCTCCACCGTTGAGGGGCTGTAGAGAGGCATCGATCAGAGCAGGAGGGAAGCTGGAGGGCCTGTGTGGCAGGCTGTGACAAGCTTGGGAGGAGAGAGAGCCCCTTTCTTTCCAGACTGCTGCCTGTGGACGTACTGGGGGCTGTTCCTAGATTTAAAATGCTGTCCTGTTGCCTTCTATGGACCATACCCTGTACAACATGCTGGGAAGACACAGTCAGTGTTTCTTGCCCTCCTGGAGTTTGTGATCTGGTTGCAAATGATAAACACCACTGGGGTAAAGTGGGCATTCAGAGAAGGGAGTTGGAACTTCATCTGGGTTTAGAGACATCTCGGAGAAGACAACACTTAGGCTGACCCTTTGGAGATGTTGGGGTGGGAGGCCTTCCTGTTGAAAGAAACATCTGCGGAGCAAAGCCACGGAGCTGGGAAAGCACCGGGCATGGGCGCTCAAGGAACGTTGACTTTGATAATAATAGGGAATGAGAAGCAAGTTTGGCCAAGTGGATCACGTTAGAGGACTTTAAATACTAGGAGGAGGAATTTGGCCCTTGAGTTACGGAGAAGATACTTGAATAGAGGATCGGGTTGTAGAGCTGTGCTGTGGAAGGTGGACTGACGGTAAGTGATGTGAGAGATCGGATGCAGGGAGACCAGCAGTAAGTGCAGGTGCTCTGGGGCCTGAACAGAGGCAGTAACAGGAGGGAACAAGAAAGATCAGCAGGTGACCTGGGCAAAGGAACTGTCAGAGGTGATCAAGATGGTGACACCTTTCTGAGGAATGGGGAAGATGAGGGAGAGGGGGTTCAGTTGGGGAAACTTGGCATTTAAGGAACAGACAGAAGCCAGACCAAGAAACCTCACTTCACCTCCCTGGAGCTTTCCCTGCGTTCTTGTGTCATGGTGATAAGGTGATAACGCCAACCAGTAGAATTCCCACGGCCTCAGATTTAGGTTGGTCTCCAGTAGGTGACGAGAATTCAACATTCCCTAATTTTATCCCTGTAAGGATGGGAACGTTTCTTGGTTTTGTTTTTGTTTTTTCCAAGTTTAAAATTTTTTCAGCCTTTCTTTTTTTTTTTAAGCCTTTTTTTTTTTTTTTTTTTTTTTCTTTTTAATCTTGGTTGTGCCACGTGGCTTTGCAGGGGTCTCAGTTCCCCAACCAGGGATTGAACCTGGGCCACGTCAGTGAAAGTGCCAAATCCTAACCACTAGGCCACCGGGGAACTCCCTTAAGCCTAGTTTTTAAAAATTCACCTTAATTTCACACAACTTTATTTTCCCGAATTCTCTTCCAAGCATTGTTCCTATTCATTCATATTTTAGACAATTGTGTTTACATAATTTAATAAACTTTGTCAATATCACAAGCATTGGAAAGTTCTCATTAAATGTTTAAGGCACATTAATTCTAACTGATGAACTTATTAGCACACGTCATCCCTAAGTATAATGGTATAGAAGTTCCATGTGTACATAGAATGCATTTGCAGTCATTTTTTTCCCAGCAATTTTAAAATTCATTTATATTTACTTAAATTCTGAGTGAAAAGAGATGAAAACTCAACTGTTGAGTTCCAAACATGTACCAGGGATTAGAACTTTCAGAATCATTTTGCATCTTGTTCTCAGCACCACCCTGGGATCAGTATTGTTAGGCTCAGTCACAGATGAAGAGACTCCGGCGTGACGTCCACCCACCCCCAACAGCGTTAGGTTAACATTAGTGCCTTCTGTGGGCCAAGCAATGTTCTAAGGCACTGAGAATAGAATATGAACAAGACAGGGAAGGCCCCCCTTCTCAAGAAACGTACATTGCTTTTAAGACTGGAATCGTAGGGCTTGGCCCATGATGGTCTCAGTACTGAGTGTCTTCTGTGGGCCAGTCAGTGTTCACTGTCTTTGGCAAATCACTGCAAACAGACTCTCCTGCCACCCCTTAGAAAAAGTTTTCTAAATGCAGCTTGTTCTTGACTGCATTGTTTCCCCATGACAACAAATTGAGCCGAGGGTAGCAGTAACGTTTGAGACTAAAGTTGGGTAATGCCTGTCTCTCCCCTCCCACCCACCCGTGGTCCAGTGGAAGAAAGATCTTGGGAAGCTGAAAGAGGAAGACCCTAAGTTTGATTAATTCACCTACCAGCATCTATGAGCTAGGTGTTTTAAAGTGAACTATGTAATAATGCACATAAAAGCTGAAGACAAAAGTTCAGGGAGGAGAAGGGGTTCGCCCAAAGTAGCACATTAGTGCGAAAATGCATCTCTAGATTTCTCTTTCTTTTTGTAAATTTTTATCATTTGTGATACAGTTACAAGAAGACATTTGCTTGAAGTCGCAACAGCCAGGATTTGAGCTCAGGTTCAAGTCGAGCAGGGTTTCTACAAGAATCTGCTTTCCTTAAAAATTTCTAAGTTGCTGCAGGACAATGCCACTAGCCCACTGCTGTGATTAAATTTTAATTGCTTTGTCATTTCATCAGTACTCAAAGGCCTGCCAGGGAGTGCCCACTTGGCCAAGCCCAGGTCATCATCCCAGATTCTAGATGCCAAAGAGTGATGAGAAGGAGGATGGCTCATTTTAGCTTCTACAGTGGGAAACAGTGCATTAATGCCCACAAAAATGCACTCAATAAGGAATTTCCCCCAAAATAGGAAGCAGCCAAAGAAATACAAATTCCCACTATAATTCAACAGGATGCTCAAAATTCACAAGTACCCTTCTTTCCATACTTAACCTTCCTCACCTCCCTCCCAAAAAGAGTGAAAGACAAAGTAGGAACAGAAAACAAGGTAACAGAAAACAGTAACAAATGTAGATAAACTACATCAGTAATCACTTCAAATGTCAATGTTCTAAATAAAAGACTGGCTGTTGGTGGATTTAAAAACGAGACCCAACTATATGTTATCTTTATATTTAAAATGGGTTTCTTGGGAATTCCCTGGCAGTCCAGTGGTTAGGACTTGGCACTTTCACTGCAAGGGCCCGGGTTCAATCCCTGATTGGGAAACGAAGATCCCACAAGCTGCGCAGTGTGGCCAAAAAAAAAAAAAAGGGGGGGGGGGGGGGGGGGAGGGTTCTTGCAGACATAGTAAAAGTAAAGGTATAGAGGAAGATATCATGGTAACACTAATCAAAAGAAAGCTGGAGTAGCTACATTTCAGACAAAGCAGACCTAAGAGCAAGGAAAATTATCAAGGATAAAGAAAGGCACTACATAATGATAAAGAGGTCAGTTCTCCAAGAAGATATGACTAACGTGTATGCACCTAACAACAAAGTATCGAATATATGAGGCAAAAACAGAACTGTGAGGAGAAAGAGACAAATCCCCTTTACAGTTGAAGACTTCAATATCTCTCTCAGCAACCGACAGGTCCAGCAGGCAGAAAAATCAGGAAGGCCATCGTTGAACTGAATGGTGCCATCAAGACTGGATCTCATTGACCGTGCTAACATCATGCTAAGTATGCTCTCAGACTACAATGGAGTTAATCTAGAAAAATCAACAGAAAGATAGCTGGAAAATCCCAAAGTACTTGGAGATTAAACAACACACTTCTAAATGACACATGGATCAAAGAAGTCTCAAGAGAAATATTTTTGAGCTAAATGAGACTATAACTTATCAAAATTTGTGGGATGCAGCAAAAGCAGTCCTTAGAGGGAAATTTATAGCATTAAATGCATCTATTAGAAAAGAAGAGCTGAAATCAATAATCTAAACTTCTGCTTCAGGGAACTAGAAAAAGCAAAATTAAGTCTAAAGTAAGCAGAGGAAAGAAAAATTAGAGCAGAAATCAATGAAATTAAAAGCAGGAAATCAACAGGAAACAAAAAGGTAAAGCAGGAAACAAAATCAACAAAACCGGGCTTCCCTGGTGGTGCAGTGGTCGGGGGTCTGCCTGCCGATGCAGGGGACGTGGGTTCGTGCCCTGGTCTGGGAGGATCCCGCGTGCCACAGAGCGGCTGGGCCCGTGAGCCACGGCCACTGGGGCTGCACATCCGGAGCCTGTGCTCTGCAGCGGGAGAGGCCACAACAGTGAGAGGCCCGTGTGCCGCAACAACAACAACAAAAATCAACAAAACCAAAAGCTGAGTCTTTGAGAAAGCTGATAAAACTTCTACCTAGGCTAACCAATAAAAAAAGAAGACACAATTACGAATATCAGAAACACGGATTTGATCAGCTCGAGATGGGGGAGTAGGAGGACATGGAGCTCACCTCTCCCCGCGAACACATCAAATAAATATCTACATGTGGAACAATTCTCACTGAAAACTGACCAGAGAACTCCTATACAACCGAAGTTGTAAGAAAGATTTCTATGTAACCAGGTAGGACAGACAGAAGGCATAGGGTCAGGACCTCCAGCCCTCGGAGGGATCTGAAAGGAAGAGAAGTCCACAAGGGTGGACCCTCATCCTGGGGAGAAAGCAGGCTGAGTCACAGACTGGATAGCCCAGTCTGGAGTCCTACAGGGAGGAGACAAGCCCCCTTGGCTACTGGGAGGACTGCAAGGACAGAAGG